ATTGGGGTTTAAAAGTTGGTAATTTGCATCTGGGCTGCCAAGTGGAGGGATGAGGTCGTTTCCATAAGGATTAGTCTTATTTCCCCAAAGTCTTATCCACTTCCTCCGTCCCGCAGTCACAAAATATTTTGCCTCGGGGACTTACTCCATGTTCCATTAGCCCAGGTAATGCATCCCATCACAGAGGAATTTAGATATGGCTGAAAGGTTATGAAAAACGCAAACTATGTTACAGGGTCGAGTATCCAGAACGAAGTCTTTCCAGTCTCCGAAATTTCCTTGAGGTCAGGAAGTAATTCTGGACCTAATGTAGTGAATGAGAATTTCTGATGGTGGCTGGGGGTTTTAGCACCATTAAGCGGTGAAAGGGAACTTAAACGAAGGTCTTTTGATCGATCTCTATTGACCTATAGGATTTTTTTTTTACGGGGATTAGCCCACCCAGGCACAGGTCACTGACCCACATCAGGGCCTGGGGAAATATAATAATAATAATAATAATAATAATAATAATAATAATAATAATAATAATAATAATAATAATAATAATAATAATAATAATAATAATAATAATAATAATAATAATAATAATAATAATAATAATAATAATAATAATAATATCTATTATTATTATTGTTATTACAACAATTAATAAAATTTATAGCAAATTAATACAAATACAAATAAAATAATAAAAATAATAATAATAACAGCCATAAATAAATACAAAACGAAACAATAAATCAAGAGTGAGAAACGATACACATTATGTATGTTGAGTTGTCCAAGTAATAGAAACAATTGAGACCCTGCAATTGTATGTAAATGAAGCAGAAAGTCAGATCAGCAACCTGGGACTTGGTCACAATTTTCGTGATGCCATATGGCAGCAGGGTCTACCATTAGACAACACATTATGCTTCCAATATCTTCCCAGGCGGTAGTACCTCCCTGATTGGTAGCTGCTTACTACCTACTACCTACAGATGCGGTTTAGAGTATTAGTTATCAGTTTCTTTGGAATACCCCAGTATTATGTGTAGGTTACGACCATTAACAGTTCAAGGTACTTCCGTAAAGGTTAAATCTGACGGAAAAAGTCTTCACCAAAGCTCTTATGTATTTGGAAGAGATTTCACGAAGGTTTATGTTGGGTCCGTCTTTAGTGGGAGATAAGGAGAGTTGGAATTTTAGTGAGGCCCATAAACTATAGTTGGCTATAAAGTTTCTCGGTTCCGGTGTAAGGTTATAAAAAGGCGCGTTGCCGTAGTAATAAAAACAAGATGGCTAGCAATAATGTGTCGTATGCATTGTCACATTAATTACTTTTTAATTAAGTTACAGAATATATTCATAACCTGTCATTTCATTTTAAGTTTTATCTCCAAGTTTTTCCGCCTCCTGGACAAGCTGACTGTTTCACATCTGCTGTAAAATGATATTTACTAGTTGACTAGACTCGTTCCCTTCACTCCCACAACAATATGATTTTGAATACTTTTGATGTCCCTTTTCATGTGACATTTGATATTTGGGTTACCTAATAGCTCTGCCTAACTTCCCTGTTGGTTTCAGGACTTGAGCTTTAACTCTTGCACCTCCCACCAAAGAAAAAAATTTATCTCGGATTTAGGACGTTGATGAAAAATTAGAGAGAGCGTCGCTTACTGCTCAGTTTAGGACACCTATTACCTTCGTCAGCAGTCCGAGTTACACACCACTAACAAACAAGGTTAGGATACAAACATAGGTACACTTACATATTGGGTACAAGGTATTTAATGTGTTTTTCTCTTTTTGTAGGAAAGTTTATGGCAGTGATTACAAGACATATATTCAGTTAATTAAACCATTATGGAGATACGTAAATACTAGTGATGTATTTTGTCTCTATTAAGTACAGTCTCTCAAAAAAAAATATTATCTTCACAAAATTGCGTTAAATAATGACACAAAGGACGAAGGATTTTGACAACCCTACCGAGACAACAGGAGTCGCAGTGTTCATTATGAAATACATCGATCACCCCCAAATAGATTTTTTTTTTCATGTGATTACAGTCTTTTACTCCCCGACTTTACGTTCTTCACTCCCTGACTTAACGTTCTTCACTCCCTGATTTTACGTTCTTCACTCTTCGACCCCGTGTTCCTTCAACCTTCACACTACCTCATCAACTTTCTCATTCTCGTCTTCCCGTTCACACTCCTCATCTCACCCCGTCACTCCTATCTACAAACACCCTTCTTACTTCCTTCCTTCCACCTGATCCTTACCACTCCTCTTCCTGCTCCTTCCCTCAGCCCCTGCACCTCCCTCCCTCCACGCCTCTTCAACACAACCATCTCCTTCCTCTCCCCGTCACTCTTCTCCCTTCAATCGTTCCCCTCACCTCTCTTCCCTCACGCCTCACTGCCACAAGTCTCAAGTTTAGAAGCGTTCCTGAGGTAGTTCCAAGACGTCAGGAAATGTCACCTACATTTATTTCCATATTTCCATGTTGACCTGGAGCCTTGACAGGTAACACTACACTCTGAAACTTGGAGGAATATATATAATTATTTTTTCCTGTTTCCTTATAATTGAAGTCGAGTAAATTTCTTTCACAATAAAAAAAAAATGATTTCTTTGAACCGGTTATAAAGATGTATGAGAAACGAGAATTCTTTCATTCTTTCAATCAGTAGTGCCTCGTCTGCAGCATCAAGAGCTCTCCATTTTAAAACGAACTATTGTGCCTCGACAGTAGTGGGACGGTGTTGACTTATTTCAACCATCTCCCTCGTTCTCACATAATTTTCCCCCCACTTTTTGGATCCTCATAATGTTATTTCCTGAACGAATCTTCTCTTTCCTGACGAAGAAGTAAGAACAAAAATAGTTTCGACTAGAAGAGAGTGAGGGACGAGAATTGATGCGGTACTGAGGAAAATAATTGGACTCGTGTTACAATGAAAAGAATCATTTCTCATACAGTTTGTGGAAACATAATACAAATAATAGTTATTACTGTTAGACGCAAAGTAAAACACAAAAAATAGTGATAAAGACAAAAAAACGAAGAGAATAACGAGGGAAAAAAAGAAATTAAATGATGATACATGGAAATAAACGGAAAAAAAAAGATTATCCCACCAACACCTGGTATAGTAATGATATATCCATCTAGTAACCTGATATTAAATTCTATATTTCCCCCTCCTTATATAATACAAAATACCACCGCCACCAGAAGTTAAAAAGGTAAAACGTCCCGAGACTGACAAACAAGCTGACAAGGGCAGTGTAAACAACGTTTTCTCCAAGGCGGAACACTGTGGTTCTCTTCTCTGGGTTGTGTGAAGATTAAAACCCGTGTTTGTTTATTTTGTTTTGTTTTTCTTACAAGAACAAAAAACATCTAAGGGTGACATGTTCCTGAGGCAGGTCTTTTAAGAGCAGGATCACAGACACAGACAGACAGACAGACAGACAGACACAAACATTCCTATAAGTCGTTCGAGTGAATTAGCCATCACACACATTTATACATTAGTGCTAAGTTTCATGAAATGCTGATGATTTGTTTTAATTAAATAACCAAACGTTTGGGTCATGTTGGACAGAAAATCAAGCACAACTGGTAGAGGGTCAGCCATCGTACTCACAGGGGCATTATTCATCCAATTACTTGTTGTGTGTTGCCTGAGATATTATATATTAGTAGACACTGTTGAACTCACTGACACCAATTCCTCATTCCAGATTATATGACTATACTACCATATCAATCTCCCTCCCCCCCCCCTCTCTCTATCTCTCTCTCTCTTCCACCTGAAAATTTTTGAGTGAATTTAATCATACACCCAGGGCCTATGGGTCTACATACTATGGCAAGGAACTTATATTGCAAACTGGCTAAACTTGGATGAACATCATTTGTTAACACCTAAATGTGGCTTCTAAAATGGTCAAATGTGTTACAAAATATATATAAAAAAAATATCACAGAAGCAACCGAACGCATGAAACACTAAAGTATCCTGCTAGTCCTGTGTTGATCATGAGTGCTGTTTTCATGCAGTTAACTAACTACTAAGGCCCGTTCACTTCTCCCCTTGAAAACACGAACCCCGGAGAGATTCAGACTCATGAACCCGAAGCAGTAAACTGAGACATAATTCTATCCATAAATGCTTCGGATAGTGACCTTTATCATCATTATCAGTCACAGGGATTCACAGTGACCATACCTTAAGACGATCAATTATGGGGACCTACAGGAAGAACGTGGAGGTCGCGTCACTATGAAATTGAGTACACGGCGACCACACTCAAAGAGGCAAAACAAAGGTATATAGCCGCCCGTGTAGCCTGTGTCGTCTCGTCTTTACCGGCAGCTGATCCTTGCCTCCCGGGGGAAATATGGAGAGTATGGGATGCATTACTCTAGCACGGGAGGAGAGCTGACAAGGGAAAAGTGTAGGAAAGGAAAGAGGGAAAAGTGTAGGAGGATAGGAAAGGGTTGGTGTAGTCAAGAAACGTTTTCGTACACTGATACCCGGCGTGATATAAACCTAATCTACCCTGATACCCGGCATGATATAAACCTCAGTATTAAAGAATACAGCTAGTGAATCAAGGATGGCGACTAAAGAATCCAACGTGAATGTTAGAATTAGTGAACTTTTCCTCCAATCTCTTCTTCCTCTTTTACTGAAGCCGTTTCTTATCGTCCGTTTTTAAAAAGTTGAAGATCATTGCCCTTACCCTATCAAGGCTATATCACCAGGTAAGTCAAATAATTTTTTTTCCAAAAGCCAGACATTGTAGTTATTTATGGTATTTCAAGGTTAACAATGGAGAGTACATCCCATAACTCAGGTAACCTTCTAATTATATTCTCACCAAACACTGGGAAGATATTTACAGTACCGATTACCATGGGTGGGATTACAGCAGATAATTACAGCATACATTGACTGGGTTCATAAAGCAACGATTATTTCTGGTGTTACAGGAAGGATAACATGTCTACGGTAGCCAGCTGATACGAGAGAGGTCCCTCAGCCTCCAGCCAGCCATCACAGCCATGAGGCCAAGAGGCATGGCTGTGGGCAGAGCAAGTAGTGTAGTGATCTTCTCCAAGTTACTCGCGGGGAGGAGGTGTAGCCAGCAGGCCACCATGGACTGGTTCATCGTATGACCCTGTACTGCCGCCCGCCGCACACCAGTATCATGGAGTCTAAGGTTATCATCCCTCCTACCCTTCCTACTTTTGGGCATCCTACAGTCTACTTCTATCCTACAGGTAAGTCAATTTGGTTTTTTTTTCCCCAAACTTCAACGTGGCCTCTAGCCTCCCCCAAATAGCCACACCTTCGTCACCATTTCATTACATTAATATTAAATATCCTTATACAAAAGTAAGTTAATTTCAACTCCACACGCGTATCAACCACAGAACCACAACCAATCCTATTTTTATTTATACAATTACATTTTTAACTTTAACTTAATGGTAAAAACTGAAGAAAAAAAATCAAGTGAAATTGCGTCATTATTGTCTGGTCCTGTAAAGAAATCTCTCTCTATTAAGGCGACACACAGCTTTAAAATCATTTGATCGTGAAAAGAATCACCGAGGTGGGAAATGAAACTCTCCAGGCCACATAGATATGACCCACCGCAGGGCTTCCCTATTTATTCAACAACCTAATTACTTTTTCTAAACTCACCTCCCTTCCCTTATTTTAAAATTGGAAAAAAATATATATATTCTGGCCAGAGACAAACAAATTTTAAGAATAACAGAAAGGTAAAGTTACACCAGAACTTATTAATTATAATACAATCTTTTCACCTGAGTTAATGGAATACTTCATGGGAGTATTATATTATTTTCAGTGTATCTTATTTAAGTCCAGATGTCTCAGTCATGTGTACACAAAAGTAAATTGATGTGAAAAGTGAGCGAAACATGTATTATATTCTCTGAGTGTATCATTAATTACTATGGGTTCTCCTGAGCTGAATAAAATCCTCAAGCGTTAACCAGAATAAAATCCTTAAAGCAGTTTATAGTATGCAGTGTTAATCAAGATAGACTTAAAACTAATCAGGAATGTTTATAGCCCAGACCATCGGAGTTTCCTCACAACCATGTACTGTACACTCCCTTCACTACAAATCATTTTCATTGAGATATTTGTTTCTAATATGGTTTTAATTTGATTCTATAATATGTTTACTATTGTGAGTTTCCTTCTGTCGAATGTAAACAAACACAACGCTGCCACACTGTACAAAACCTGACGAGCCCCTGTAAACGCACGGGTGAAGGTAAACTGTCCATTAACAAATTTTCTCGAGGGAAAATTCTCAAAGGTATAACCACTTTTACTTAAGTTGTCTGGTTATTGTGTATCAAACTACGAATCTTATCGACATATGTTTACAAAAAAATTATATAATCTTTACGATATCAAAACATTAAAGAAAAAATTTACTGCGGATTATCATAAATAGAGACATTAAGGAGATAAATACTGAAAATTTTAAACAATTATGAAACCTGAGCACTAGTTAACATCACGAAGAACAATTACACTCTTAAATTTGTAGTTACTTTTGCTACATATCGCATAGATAAAGTTTATATACTTATTTTACCTAAAGGATTAAAAAATTCGTACAGTGATTAATACAGAAACTAATCACAAAACTGTAAATAGCAACACGATTAAAAAAAGTGACCATGATGAGCTGACAAAAAAAGTAGAGAGAGAACAGCCTGGGGAGGAAGCTGATGAATGCTGCCTCAACATCAAACGTGAGATGCTAATGGATACACCGGATTTTTTGAAGAAAGTTCATCCATCGCTTAACGAGGTCTGAATAAACCTCCCATGAAAACAAAAAAAATAATAATCACTATATCTTTTGGTCAGTGAGCCACGGGTGACGTACCTAAGCTGATCAAACGTCCTTCATGGGAAAAACAATTTTTCAAAACTGTTTCATATGATAATCCACAAGAACGTATCAATCCATAATGTAATAATGTAATAATAATTAGAATTTAAGTTTAAGTTTCTTCTTTTCTCTCTTACTTGAGAAAAATTGGTTCATTTCGTCTTCCAAGGACCAAGGTATTCCTCCTGGCATTGAAATTTTGACAAGTTCCTAAAACAATCAGCATCCAGAAGAGAATAAACTGTACTTGACTTTAAACATTATAAATAACTGCTCAGACAGGAGTATGGCTGAATTAAATTAAAGTTATGACTAAATACTACTGAGAAGTTAGCGAGGTGTGTGGTGCAGGTAAAGTACAAGGTGTTCAAATTGTGCGGGCAGGTGGAAGTTAGCAAGGTGTACGGGCAGGTGGAAGTTAGCAAGGTGTACGGGCAGGTAGAAGTTAGCAAATTGTGCGGGCAGGTGGAAGTTAGCAAGGTGTACGGGCAGGTGGAAGTTAGCAAATTGTGCAGGTGGAAGTTAGCAAGGAGTACGTGCAGGTAGCAGACACACGGGAACGCTAAACACCAAAACACAATCCAGTCAAATCCACATTAAAGAAAGACAACGACCTGTGTCACTCGTTCCCGGCCTCAGGTCCCGGCAGATGTTTTTTACGACCAATACTAACAGTTAAAGGCAGATGTGAACCGCGGTGAGGAGGAAAATTACCACACACTGCAGTCCCCATTTCCTACACCCTTATTGAAGGAAAATACAGTACATTAAATTGTTTATAACGTAATAATCAATAACACAATAACATAGAGACAGTGATTTGTAAGTCAGTCTTTAGAACATTTAATGATGGTGATTGATATACATACATACAGCCTAAGTCTCCTTAACAAGGCTGATAAGATCCTACGTGTATCAAGAGCCACAAGGAATCATCAAGGTATTATTTTCTTACTAATAAGACACACAACACTGCCAGCTGCACAATAATATTCTCAACATGACACAATATTAAGTGACATAGTATGATGGTATGAGTGTACTGAAGTGACACAGTATGATGGTATGAGTGTACTGAAGTGACACAGTATGATGGAATGAGTGTGCTGAAATTAACGTGAGATGCTTAATGTGAGTCACCTGTAATTGTGTTGAGAATAATGTCGTGTTAATCATCTTCCCTCCCGTGTAAGGTGTGATGAGTGTGTTACCATGTTAAGGCCCGTTGTGTTATCTGCCTTCATCAATAATGTAGGGAGATGTAAAGTGGTAATGTGTTGATAGCAGTATTCTTATCTCCTTCCCCTTATTGGAAAGACGACCAGCATTCGTATCATTCTTGAATCATCTGAACTCGGTGTGACTACTGTACTAATCACAAAAGAAATTTTACTAATTGCATCGAATCCGAGAAACAAAATGCAAATGAATAAAAGACCTTCATCCTCGAACACATATCATGGCGAGGATATTAAAAACTTGCTAACTTCTTGTTTCTGTAAATTCCACTTGGCGGTGAAAGTTGAGGCAGCACGTCCATTATTGTTTACAATGTCTGTGTCCATCGTCAGTGGTAAGCCAAATAGAAGGTTAATCGTGGTACCCATTGGTGGAGGGGTTAACACTTGACTGGAGGGTGACAGGTTTTGTTGTGTTTAGTATGCAGGTGTGTGGGAGGGGTGTGGTGTGTGGGAGGAATGTGGTGTTTGGAGGGAGGGTGTGGTGTGGTGTGGTGTGGTGTGTGGTGTGGTGTGGTGTGGTGTGGTGCGGTGCGGTGAGGTGTAGGGAGGGGGATTCACCTCAACAGAAAAATAGAGAGACAGTAAACTAGTTAAGCCACACATACGGGGTAAAATTTCAATATTATTATTTATTTGTAATCATAAATTCACTGTGACTTTATATGACACTGCGCAGCCATTAATTAAATAAATAAAAAAATTAATCCTTTCATATTCACCAAATGAAGTCAGTTTGCATGAAGACTCCCGCATGAATAAATTTTATACGCATGAGTAACCAGTTTATATAATTCTACTTTTACTGTTCTTTTATTATATTAATTTATTCAACTTCCATGAATTCTACTACATTTCATCCCTTTCTTCTTTTTCATTTCAACTGGGAGACAAAATCCCAACTGTTTCATTTGTTTATACATACCGGAATATAACTCAATCACCCATTATTATAAAAATATGCTGTTTACGAGGTATTTAAAATTTAATACAAATCAAAACCGAACTTTCAACGCGAGTCAACGCAGCGATGAACAAATCCTTAACACGATACACACGAGAGAATTTTTTCCAGCCAGCAAGGTAGTATTTCCAAGCTAACTTGGCCCGTAAGCCACGCCCCTCGCCTCTAGCTACAAATAGCTGATTGGTTCCCCTGAGTGTTTTACCCCCCCCCCCCCAGACTGCGCGTATATAAGTGCGTATTTATATCGACCTTTTATAATAAATATTTAAAATTTTCTAGCATCATCTCCGAAGTACTAAGGCCTTGAAATCATTTACATTTTGATAGTCCAGATATTTAACATTATTTTAGATAATAACAGGTCTGCTTACCAATTGTGAACACATTTAGTTTGAATTTTCTATGAACGAATCAGCCATTAGTATAGAAGAGGGGAGTGGCATACGAACCAACGTTAACGTGGGAAGAGTATAGTCATGTGTATTGATTAATGTCAACAAAGAGGCGAATACATAAAATATCAACATGATTCGTGCACCACAAGGCTCACTCGGAGTCTACTGACGGTTTTTACTGATTATATCTGCGACAACACATAGGTAATATCTCTGTAGCAAACATATCAGTAATGTTTGGAATCTCAGTCAAGTTTGGAATCTCAGTAACGTTTAGAATCTCAGTAACGTTTAGAGTCTCAGTAACGTTTGGATCTCAATAACGTTTGGAATCTCAGTAATGTTTAGAGTCTCAGTAACGTTTGGAATCTCAATAACGTTTAGAATCTCAATAACGTTTAGAATCTCAATAACGTTTAGAATCTCAATAACGTTTAGAATCTCAATAACGTTTGGAATCGCAATAACGTTTGGAATCTCAATAACGTTTAGAATCACAGTAACGTTTGGAATCTCAATAACGTTAAATGTCAGGAAAAACCTAACTATTCACTTAATTGGGTAAATGTAACAAAAGAGAGAGAGAACAACAGTGTGTTTACTATTTTCCAGTGATGGTTTAGGAGAGGAAAGTTCCTTGAATGCCTTACTAATTGGTTCTCGGGCAGGAGGGAAAGGTAAAGAGGATTTGTATGTTCTCTAAAAAAAAAAACACAAACAGTACGAAATAAAACGA